AGCACTTGTCAAACTCAACCCAGAGCAAGAGTAGATGACAGTGATTAAAAAAGCACAAGCCTTCTAAACAAGTGCTTTTGCTGTCCTTGTCACTAGAGGAACTCACTAAGGGCTCGTCTAGACTGCTTTCCTCTTCCAAAAGAGGAAGTGCAAATGAAGCGCTCATTTACAAATCTCACACTTCATTTGCATATCCTCTTCTGATCCCTTTTGCAGAAGAGATTTTTGCAAAAAAACACAACAGTCTAGATGGGGGGGGAGGTTGTACAAAACCCCCCTTTTTTGAAAGAACCCTGTAAGCCTCACTTTTTTAGGAATAAAGGTTCTTTTGAAAAAGGGGGGTTTGTGCAAACCCCCACTCCCATCTAGACTGTTTTTTTTCCCCGCAAAAACCTCTTCTGCAAAAGGGATCGAAAGAGGATTTGCAAATGAAGCGCGAGATTTATAAATGAGCGCTTCATTTGCAGTTCCTCTTTAGGAAGAGGAAAGCAGTCTAGACAAGCCCCAAGATAAATGTAAGATAAACAGAGACATAGTCTGATAGCCAGATCCAGATCCCATTGAAATCATTGGGATTTCACTAGGAGGGTGGTGAAGCAGTGGAATGGGTTACCTAGGGAGGTGGTAGAATCTCCATCCCATGAAGTTTTTAAGTCCTGGCTTGAGAAAGCCCTGGCTGGGATGATTTATTTGGGCTTGGTCTTGCTTTGAGTAGGGGTTGGACTCAATGAGCTCCTGAGGTCTCTTCCATGCCTGATTTCCATTGACTTCTGTGGTACATGGTAGACCCCCTGTGGTTTGTCATTCTCATTTGTACTATGTAAATAATATTCTCTTAATAATGAGAACAAGTAAAAATGCTCATTCTTTTTCATGGGAAAATTTGATTTTTTTTTCCTAAATGGAAAGGGAAAGTATTTGGGGGAATTACGAAACATTTTTTTCAGTGCTCAAAAATAGATTTTGCTAAAAAAATCTTGGTTTTGAAAACCAAAACCAGATTTTTCCCTATAAACTGAAACAAAAGCTAGGTATTTTTACTGAAAACTAAAAATGTGAATAGAAAAACATTTGATTTTTTTTTAAACTCCAGAAACATGGAAAATTTTGACCAAAATAAAAATTTCCCCAAACCATTGCATCTCTGGTTTTCATTTTAAAAATTGTTTAGCTAAATTTCAGTCAGCAAAAATAATTACCCACCATTTGTAAGCATGCTTCAGTTGTTGCATAGGAAAGGAAAGGAAGAGTGACAACATACAAGTAGTGTATATTGCACAAATTCACTGTATTGTGTAGAATCAGCTAGTGTTCCATCGATCCTGCTTACCAGTGGTAGGCAACCTGCAGCCCATTGGGGTTCTGTGTGTGGCCCACAAGACATTTTGTTTACTGTTGCCCATACGCAGGGTTGCCAGATTCCACTGGTTTCCACCCACATTCTTTCCTGCTGGTATTACTAAAGCGACACGCACATAAAACAAGGGCATGTGAATTGAGGTATGTGCTGAGTGCACGCAAGTTGACTGTGAAAGCTGTGTGTTCCCTCTTCATCCAATCAAAATGCTGCTCCAGTTCAATCAGCACACCATGCAAATTCTAGGTATGCGAGTGCATAGCGCAACAACCCTATGTCAGGAGTCCCTCAGAGTTATGACAATTTTTGTGGCCCACTGAGATGGAGGGCCACTCATGCCGCCCACTCACTAGCCTATGCTGCATAGTAGATAAGCTAAATGGAGTTTCACCTGTGCCTCATAGGTGCATGTGAAGTGTGATCTGTAGGAGGGTATTTGGAATGCTCTGAAAACTCCCTGCATGCTTGCATACTATATAAAAAGGAGAACACAAGTCCACATCATTTGTTGCTTTGTTGAGCAGTGTTTTTTTGTTGACTTGAATAGGGTTGGATCCGCCCCCGATGTGCAAAGTGGAAGGTTTATCTGCTGCCTAGCAAATAGTTCCATATCATGGAATCACTGTATTTTATCCATTTCCCTAGACAATTCCATACAGAAAGTGTATGAAAAAAGCACTAGTTGCAAGGGGAAGTTCTTTATTACTAGAAATATCAAAGTTAAGTTTGCACACACAAGCTTAACTCTGCCCCCTTTTAGGTATGCAGTACGTTACACCTCTTTCATTACAGGATAAGACACTGGCTGCATCTAGATTGGCATGATTTTCCGGAAATGCTTTTAATGGAAATGTTTTCCGTTAAAAGCATTTTCGGAACAGAGCGTCTAGATTGGCACGGACACTTTTCCGCAAAAGCACTTTTTGCGGAAAAGCGTCTGTGCCAATCTAGACGCGCTTTTCCGCAAAAAAGCCCCGATCGCCATTTTCACGATCGGGGCTTTTTTGCAGAAAACAAATCTGAGCTGTCTACATTGGCCCTTTTGCGCAAAAGCTTTGCACAAAAGGGACTTTTGCCTGAACGGTAGCAGAATAGTATTTCCGCAAGAAGCACTGATTTCTTACAATAGGAAGTCAGTGCTTTTGCGGAAATTCAAGTGGCCAGTGTAGACAGCTAGCAAGTTTTTCCGGAAAAGCGGCTGATTTTCCGGAAAAACTGGCCAGTCTGACACAGCCACTGTGTTTTCAGCATGACACCCTCTGCCAGGGTAGCTGGTAGTTATACTGATAAAATTCTCTACTGTGGATGCAACTTACACACACACAAAAGAGTACCATTAGTTGATTGCAGGTGTGATTTTTATATATCTATAATTATAAAATTTCTTAACCAACATAGCTATGTCAGCAAATATGTTAAGTGAAGATCTCGTGTGGGTGTGTGGATTGGAAGATAGGATGGGGAAAGGACATGTAGTAATTGAGGTAGGCAGCGGAGGAGATTTTGCAGAGTGCAATGACTGAGATTGGGGGAGGGAGGACGCAAATTGAGCAATGAGGGAGAAAAACCAACAACAGATTTGGAACAAAGAAACTGCCATGGTGGATCAGATTCATGGTCCGTCTAGTCCAGTATCCTGTCTCTGACACTTGCCATCACCAGCTACTACAAAAGGTATATTAGAAATCCTGAAGTGGACAGTTGTGAAATAATTTGTCCATTGACAGTTTCTTTCTAGCCTCTTGTTTAGATATTTGTTCATGCCCAGAAGGCCAAGCATTTATATTTAGAGTAGCTACCTCATTCTCTGAGGATCCTGAAGAGAACAGAGTTGGTGATCATGTAATTAAAAACTGCTTTGAAATACAGGGAACAGAAATAAGGTTGCACAGGGATCCTTAATTTGGAGATTTCTAGTCATGTGTGAGCTTCAAAATTTCCTGGACATAGTTTTTGTATGGAAAAGTATTTTAAATTGGGACTGTCTAGGGTGCCAGGTGATTGTTTCAGATTTAGGAGCTCTGTAGGTTAGTCACGGGTTTTTCACAGGGACTGTGAATGGGGGGAGGGAATTATCTCATCATTGTTTAAAAATATTATTTTCAAACCTGCAACCCCCTAAATCAAATGGGACAAGACATGTTTGTTTTCCCATTTTTCTTCTTGGAGTGGAAACATTAGTGGAAAATCAGATCAAATTCTATTATTTACACATGCAAATATTGGAAGGTCAATAGATTTTAGCTTTTATCCAAACACCCCCTTGGCAGTAGTTCAGTAGATATTTACATTGCATTTTATTCTTGAGATTCCTCTAACTGATTTTACTTTGGTTTAAAATAAAATCTGTGCGTGATTATGCTGTATCCCTCCCCTGCTGGCACCAGGCTGAGACCATGCAGCCAAGAAAGCCAGGATATGGTTTCATTGAGGCTGGCTG